GCCTGGCAAAGAATTGCAGTGCGAATATCTCTTTGATTCGTCACGCAGTCTTCATTTATCTACTTAAACGATTTAGAGTTCGACGTAGAGTTAGATCCGTGCAAAAAATAATTACTGCCTCTGACGCGTTTTATTATATCTTTTAAAAGATGAGATCTAATAAGAAATTCCTTTGATCCTTTAAACATCATTTACACATTTCCATATGCATTTTCCTGCGGACGGTCTCCGCGCTTTGACATTGGTATCAGGTTCGTCTGAAAGTAATTGCGGACTCGCTACACGCGAACACCGTAATTATTTTTGCAGTGATCCAATGTAAGTGCGTCGCTGACTGGCAATCCTAATTTTCCGCGAGTTAATCTCAACGTCGACGATGGTCCTCGAGAGTATACACGAAAACGGAGCACGGAAACGAATCCGCACTTACGACTCGTTAGCTGCGCAAACTTGCCTTCCCGGTTGGCCCACGTAAGGAGTTTAAATTCATTCCACTAGTTAGCTCACTCGTTTCGTAAGTCTCTGATTATTATTATTATTATTATTATTATTATTATTACGTCCTAGCATTTTCGCTGTTCAGAGGAGGGAAAATCGGTGAATTATTATTCCGAGGATCGCAAGGTTTTCGTTTGTTCAAACGCGTTTCATTGGCTCCATTGAATTCTCCGAAAACTCCCGGCACAAAGGCTTCGTTCGAACTCTTTGCGCTTTTACTGACCCTTTGATACCATCGTTCCGATGTTTGTCGACAGCACGGGCCTCGACGGTAGAGCCTGCGTGATGAGAGCACTTTGCGAGGCGGCTCAGAGGGATCCCCAGGAGCTGGGAACGGGCAGTCTGGTCCAGGAACTACTCCATGCAATCTTCACGTTCGTATATGTATTCCATCAATTGTTGCCACAATATTCGTTGTAACGATTGATCGCCGATTGAAAAGGTTTCGAAAATAACTGTTTCGAACTATTCTGTATCGGTTCTGATTCAAACAATTGAGAAAAAAATTTGAAGTTGTATGAGCCGTGAAATATCTGCTAAAAGTTTAAGACGTGTAATAAAAAACTGTGTCCAATAT